CATAATATAATATTATGCCTAGAATAGTGAAAATTTTCTTGTGGCCCCCTGAGAGCAACATGTAAATCTTAAGTTGCATCAAAGGATCATAAAGCATAACCAAGCATAACATATTCTGCTTAGAATAGTGAAAATTTTCTTCTGGCCCCATGAGAGTCGACGTGTTAAGTTGCATCAAAGGATCGATCAGGAACTACCACAAAATCCAACCTAGCCGAAAGAATACCTCTCGACGAACACATCGGACGATTATCGATTTGCATTTACAAAACACCTCCGTCGATCGGCGCACATACGAGGCTCGACCTATATCCATCAAGCCGGACGTGTTTCGCGACTCGCGTCCACGCACGTTCACACGTAATGCAACGTTACGTTCACGCACTCCCATAGAATTTGGCAATGTCAGGCCCCGTGGCGTTCTGGTTTGGCAATGGCCATGCCGCCGCCCGGCCTCCGGGAATCTAATTTGCGGCTGTTACACGGTTGTGTCCAAGAGGACGCGGTTAGTAGCCGTGGAGGACCCCCACTATAAGCAAAAGCGTTCTGTATAGGTTATAAAGGACCGAGCTCCGTACTATACGACTGCACTCTCTCAGTGAAACTCTCGGAGGATCGTTCCCCGGCTACCTGTAACCTCCAAGACGCGTGCACCATGAGGATTATATCTTTGGTATGTAACTTCACCGAGTATCCTTACCTCTCTTATCTTTTCATCGTAACACGTGTCGATCTACTTGTTTTTTTGGCACACGGTGCAGGCCTCGATACGTTGGTTCGGTGGGTGTCCCTGTGCTGTTACATTGACAATGTACTTTAACTCGAGCTACGTATGGACACCTCGTGTGTTGATAGAGACAGTTAGGGCAATGCCTCTTCGCGGTGGATTAGAGTAGCTTGGACGAGATGCAGATGTGTTGTTATTGTTAGGTGTTTACAATGCGTTCGGTATATCGAGTTAACTGCAATATTGGTATAAACACCAACTGGGAAAATTAAAAAAAAGAAAAAGGAACATACAGTGCCCTTTAGTGCCATCGACCAACTTTTGCAGAGAACTAGTACTTTATTTTTTTTTATTTAAATACGCTGGTAGGGTGACCCTTTGGTGTACCAAAAAGTAAATGGGGATGATGGATCATCTGAAATTGTTTAAAGGATTGGCAAAGTGTCGAGAGACTGAGTACAAAGGCAGTTGATACAATTGTATTGGCCATATAATATACGATAAGTTTCAATGAAAAAATTTAACAAATTTTGAACAGAGATAACACTCTTGTCACTTTCATGTGACTTTTTTAAAGGGTTTGAAAGCTTCGAGTGTGTGAACAGTATATGTAGATAATGAATTTATTTATTTACGAAACTAACGTAGGACTGCTTCCATAATTGCTACAAGGAAATATCTGATTTTTCTGATAGAAGTTTCATAGATAAACGTGGGATTATTTCATTAAACTATCATCCTGAATTGCAGAAAATACGAATTCGAAGAGAAACAAAGGGTTGATAATTATATGCTATCTTGGATTCATGTGTTCATGAAAATTAGTGCCCTTTTTGCTATACTTTTAAGCAACGAACTATCGTTATTTCGCCCACGAGTGATTTCAATGCTGCGGCGATGCTAGGAACAACTATGAATTTGAAATGTTAGCTTCTGTCGAAAATGATGTAACGACGTGTGCTCCGAATAACTTTCCACAGACTTTCGCCCCTATCTTAGAAGTTATGTTAAGTGATCGATGTATTAGGCAAACAGGTGATTGCGATATTATAGTTACTCTTCTTGGAATTGACAGACTAATAAAAGAAAGATTAATGACAATCTGACGCAAATTTATAATCATCCAGAGATACATCGCAACCTTAATAATTAATCATGCATTAAGAAACATACATCTACTTGCAACAACATCAAACTTCACCAAACTTTAACTTCCCTTAAACATTCACACTTCTCATTCTATTTCCACATATATCCTAACAATGATTCATTGTTAATCTCGTTTCTCCTTGTACAAAGGAATTATTTATTTAGTATAATTAAATGGGCAATTTAATATTTCCAAATTATAAATTTATAATCACTTCCTTAATTCGAGGAATAATTAAGACGCGTGGAAATAGAATTCAATGAAAAATGCCTGTATTCTTCCCACAGTGGTTGCAGACACATCCACGTACCGGACAAATTTATGTTACAACGCACCTTGTTAAAACAATAATCCATTAAAGCCTCCGTAGAGGCGCGTACACGTTCCACGTCTCTTCGTACGCATAATTCGTTATGCACTCACAGGTACAAGGAACAGTTGTTTTTTCTTCAAGGAGAACCTTACTCTGTGCACCTAATTCAGTTTCACCTACTTTATAAAAATACCTTCATTGTATTCAAGTCTCTTGCATACAAGAATCTCATTATCACTTGACATTTCCACGTAATTACCATATATTGGGTGTAGAAACGAATTACTTCCGGATTTTTGGCCACGATCAAAGCATATTTTCTCCGGATTTTTGGGCACAATCAAAGCACACACGTATTTTCTTCAAAGTATTCTTTATTCGAAAAAAAAAAAATGAAAACTGATCACTCGTCGAAATAATTTCCATTACTATCGATCACGTTTTTGCCACTTTTCCGGCAGCCTGCGATAGAAACTCGGTGGCTTTAAATCAACGATGTGAATCCAGTCGGGAAGAATTCGTTTTGGAAGATTAGAGGATATATTTGAAAGTAAAGAAGTTCAAATAATTGATCATCGGTGTGAGATAAACAAGATCGATGGATTTGATTATTTACCGGTTGCTAGAAAGAGGTTGGTCAATTTCCGTTCTATTTAACGCATTCTTTCTGCTCGATGTGACTGAGCTTCGTTATGGATTAACAAGTATGTATATGGAGTAACTGGAGTGTCGCAACATCGCCTGGTTTCTTGTGTGCGTGCGTCGCCATTCATAGAAAATTAATCATAATTAACGAAAGCATTTTCTTTAGACGAGCAGAGAAACATCGCCTGCTTAATTCTTGTGGGAACTTTCATCCACCCTGGTTTTCACTCATGAACTTCTCCCGCGGTATCGAACAATTAATTATGCGAAAAACGCGTGTAAAAACGTGAGTAACTGTTTTCAATTTCTTCGGTTCTCTTCCGTGACGTTTCATCCACACAAGAGTATGAATATTAACGACGCCGATACGCATTTTCTTTTCTTTATCCCTTTCTTTCGAGAGAAACATTTCTATTGTGCATATTGTAAAGGAACACGATTCATACACGGTGACTAAATTTATTCAAAAATATTATTACAATATTTGTAATAAACGTTGAAATTTTTCATACCTAAAGTTTAATTTATTGAAAACGAACAGCTGAATAGCTACTTTCTTCTGTTTCTATGACTGTTTCTATGTAACTATTCAATTTTTTTTTTTTATTGTGCTTTAACTGTATTTGAATAATTGCTGCATTTCAATTTCACGTTTGAAATATATGCGAAGTTGTTAGAAACGCCATTAAAGGAAATATGAGGCTAACTGATCAAGGATCAACAGTCTGCTAGACTAGGAAGTTTTATTATAGCCACTTTCACCAATTTAGTGCGGAACCGGCTGCAATTGTACATTTTTTTGCAACAATAAACTGGTGTTTAATTTCATTGTGAACTTAAGCAGCATCGTTAAACACTACCTGACTAGGAATAATGCAAATAGACGGAACGAGAACCACGAACTGTAAATTACTGCCGTTACAAATTACTATAACGTGGTTTGATAAATCCTGCAAAGTCTTCATCCGTCAAATTTAACGCTCTACTTGTTTCAAATTTTATGATTTATTGCGAAGAAACAAAAACAAAGAAATATTCAACAATTCGAAATCGAAAACGAAAAATTATCAAAGTTACCTATGCACGATATATTTCATTTTGAAGAAAGCTAATTGCAAAGTGTACTGCAAATTCACGATTCGCAAATTTAACGCCGCACTTGCTTGCAATTATACTATTTATTTTCAACGATGCAATAAAATTGGAAACGAAAATTTATGAAAATTATGAACGAAAAACTTATTAAATATTTCATCGTGTTTGAAGAAAGGTAAGTCACACTATACTTCCCGCGCTTTTTCTCCGCAACGCGCAATATCCTATTGTTTAATGGATCGATTTCTACGGTGAAAAGCAATCGATACGTTTTTCACTTTCGTTTCACTCCGTCTGGCCGATCCATAAATAACGATAGATGTACGCAATCGAAGCAAGCTCGATCCTACAAGTTATGAATATTTCATGCGCCTTTTTCAGCCTGCTTCTGGGAAAATTTCGTTCTTTATCATCGTTATATCAATAGCGGTATTATCGATCACGTGACGCAACACACCACCTTTATTCGAAATTTTTCCTCGCCATATTTTCTAGTTTAATCCCCACTTTAATAGATCACGTAATTCCTCGTTAAAAACTTAAGGATTAGTATCTTGTGCGAACTGATTTTCAAGATTAATCAGATACTACACCTTTCGTGAACCGAACTACGATTATAACTGTAAATCGTAGAAGCGTAAGAGTTGAAACTTCCACTTTTCTATTTCATGATTATAAAGCGCTGCCAGTGACTTTCCACTAAATAATACAGACGGCACAACACTTCTATACAATTTTCGCAATTTTTTCGCGCTAGATATGTGTAAAACATTTTTGAAAGATTTTTCTTTTGTAAACTAGTTCAGCGATAAAAGTTTTTAACTGTAGCACACAGTAAACTTCGCAAATCGTCATTAACAAAATCAATAGATTTAGTGCCAGGGTAACAACAATAATTATTGGAAGTTTCGCGAAACTGTTCGTGGTAACCACATAGAATCTATAAGGCAGAAAGTATTTTCCACGTTTCAAACATATTTGCATTCTTTTAACGACCATTTCACGAACGCTTGCAAAGAAGCCTGCAATTTTGTGGTGTACTGAAATTACTAATTTTCCTCGTAAACCTACAAAATAATTAAAAGAAAACAGTGGAAATTTTCGTTATTAATGAGTCAGGCTATCCCTGGGGTTTGGGAAAATAGAATTCTTTTTGCTTAAATTGATAGTTTATATTTTTTTAAATATAGCCCAAATCATTTTAATGAAAAATTTCGATAGTTTTATATGCCGTTAGAGCCGATTTGATAAAGTGTGTCATTCAGAATGACATTTTTAACCCTTTTATGCACTTCCACGTTAATTTCATAATTAATTTTATTTCTTACGTACACCACCTTAATTTAATAAATCGAATTTTGAAAACGATAGGGCCGATTGTAGTAAACAATTTACCGTCTATCACGCGTTACGTATTAAAATCAGTTGCAGCGAAAGGGTTAAAGACGGTGTTGTTCACAACTTCTACAATTTTCATCCGATTCACTTGAAATTTTCGCAAAAGACTCTCTTAATTTACATTTTCTGCAATTAACACGTATAACTTCTTATACACATGCTTAAGTACATTGTTTAAAATCAAATCAGTGTACACTCCCTATCTAAAAGTAGCTAAAAAAATTTCGCATCAGCTCACGAAGCGAGAAATCACCATGAACGCGAAGGACACGCGAGCGAAACATCAGGCTGCATCATCGATCGCGAATAATTACCGCTGTATCACGCGGCGAGCGTAAAACGTGC